CTGGCATACTGATGATTCACCACCGGTTGTCCTCGAGTTCATTTTGATTCATAGCGACCCTAAAAGACAGTAGAACTGCCCCTTAGGGTTTCCAAGGCTGTAAGCTTTACAGAAGCAGCCTGCCACATCTTCCTCCCGTGGAGCAGCCGGTGTGTTCCAATCCCTAAACTTTTAGTTAGCAGCTGAGTGCTTTAACCAATGCACCACCAGGGTTCCTTTACTGATAGTTAGCTCTGTAGAAATAGCACTGAAATTATAGCCGTTCAAAGAAGAAAGCGTTGAAAAATCAAAGAAAAATTTTCCATGGATTCCAAAATTATCACTATCTGTAGGCACAAGTAACATGTTATTGAACAAAGACTAGGGCTTGAGCATTGATTATTCCAATATTGCCCATCAATAATCATTAATAACAGATCAATTATTCAACAAGTTATAACTAACTTCTGGTTTCGTTTTCAAGCAAGTTTTTTTTGTTGTTGTAGTTACTAAAAATTACCGAAAAATACAATAAAATTTTGGACTCAAGAGAGTTACTGTCTTCTACTACCTACCTCTCTAGGCAGTAAGATGGGGCAATTATAGGGCTCACCTCAAGAAAACCAAATGATGAATAGCAAAACATTCTACCTATAGATGTATTTCAGCTAATAATCTCAGAAGGAATGACAGAATTCAAGAATTACTATTCTGTAGCCCTTAACAGGGCCCTGGTGGCACAGTGGTTAAGAGCTCGACGGCAACAGGTTTGGTTTTGGTTTGGTAGGTCTTATTGGTTAATAAATAAAGGTGATGAACCTCAATGACTGCCAACATCACCACAAAAGGAGACAACAACAACAACAAAAAAGTCCTTTGCCATCAATTCCAACTCATAGCGACCCTGTAGGACAGAGTAGAACTGCCCCATAGCGTTTCAAAGTAGCACCTGGTGGATTCAAACTGCCAGCCTTTTGGTTAGCAGCCATAGCTCTTAACCGCTACGCCACCAGGGTTTTCAAACAGACATTATGTATTTCCTAATGTGATGGAGGTGCACAGCATCATGTGTAGAGTGCTCTTGCTAAAAAATAAACAAATAAATAAACCATAATCTTCCCAAGTGTCACCTACAATTATTGAGGATTGTTGATGCTGAGAACCAGATCTATTGGGTTCATTTTTCTTTTCTCTGTACTGTTGTGTATGTTTGAGAATTTCTATGATAACATAATTCTATTATAAATATCATGCCTTCAAATTTGAGAATTCAATTGAAATGGTACAATTTTTTGGCAACATATAAATGATTAAAGGAGTCCATGAAGAAATAGAAAACTTTAATTCAACAACACAAACTGAAACTACAGTGCCAACCTAAGGTACCTTCAAAATATTCCAGGACCAGCTAGGTTTGTAGACCCATTTCATCAGATGGTAAGTGAAAACTGTTGTTGTTATTGTTGTGTGCCATTCAGTCGATTCTGACTCATAGTTACCATCTTATGTAACCATGGGAAATTACTCAATCACTTTTAACAGGCTAGCTCCCCTTGTTACAAAGATCAGGTGAGGGTGCCCCCATAAAGGAACACTTGAGCCAAGCTCACTCACATAAAAACAAATATCCTAAATAAATTCACAGCAGATCTGATATAGCAGGGAATTAAATGAAAAAATAGGCGGTGCCCGAAGAATACAAAGGTCAGTCATATCACATTACAAAAAAACGTGAATTGCAATTCACTACATTAACAGCGGTAAAGAAAAAGCCTTTGGCAAAAATTCAAACCAGTTCATAGTATGTAATAACATTTTACCAAACTTACAATAGAAAGGAGTTTCCATTTTGTAAAATCTCAGCAAACATACTTAAATGTGAGATATTAGAAACATTCCCAATAAAGTCCAGAACAAGATATAGAGGTATGGTACCGACTCTACTGTCCAAACCTGGGTGCACAGCCATACACAAGAACACAAAAATAAATGAGAAGTATGAATAATGAAAAGAAAGAGGTATCATGATCGCCTAATTCAAAAATCCAAAGGAATCAGCTCACAAAATATTCAAAAGAATAAGAAACTTCGGAACGCTGGTGTAGAAGATCACTATAGCAAAATCAGGAGTCTGGCCACACAAAATAAATAACTTATTAGAACATATAACGGAAAATATACCATTCAAAACAGCAGCAACATCCAAAATATACCTAAAAAGAAAACTAACAAAAATATACATGACCTTTATGGAGACAACTATAAAACTTTGTTGACAAAATTAAGTAAAAGAAGTCCCAAATACAGCAGTATAAGATGTTTGTTAATGAGGAAGAGAACATTGTAAAGATGTCAAAACCAAACCAAACCCGTTACCTTTGAGTCACTACCTACTCAAGATAACCCAGTTCTCCTTAAATTATTTACAGATTCAGTGCCTTCCCTGAAGGGAGTGGCCTAGGGTCAGCAGAGGAGAAAGAGGTGGCCCAGCTTCTAGCAGGGATCAAGGTAAGATACTGAGTGAAGACGGAGGGTTCCATCCACCCTAAAGAGTGGTGCCCACAGAGCCCAGCCCCATAAAGCCCCACCCTCACAGATCCCCAAGCCCCCAGAATCCCACCACTCTGAGCCCCGCCCCTCTGAGCTCTGCTCCCTCACAACTCTGCCCCTGCTGTAGGCCCTGAGAGGCGCCATGCATGGCTGTTAGGCTCAGGATCCCCCTTACCTGGGCCTAGAAGGTTTTGGGTAAATGGAAGCCTTGATCTGAAGCTAGCTGATTCCGCACATCAGAGCCTCCTAGGAGTCCCTAAAATGCCCCTATGTAAATTCTGTGGAACACTCCCCTCCTCCAAGGGAGGAAGCTTTATAGAGCCCCTGATGAGAGCCCTGGTAGCTCCCGGACAGGGGCAACCGGAAGTGATGTACCCTGATTTCCGCCTCTGGAGGCTGTGCAGAAGGACGTTTTGGTCTAACGGCTAGGCTTAAGGTCGACAGGAGGAGGAGTCCCAGGACCAAGAAGGTGTCAAGGTACCTATCTACGAGTTAGAGTTTAGGGACATACTCCCCGCTAGAACAGAGGAGGCTGGACAGAGCCCCACCCCCACTCCACCCCCATTATCAGCTCCGGGGAGGCTAGAGGCATGGTTGTTAGGCCCAATGCCTCCTGACTTGGCCTTGGGAGGCTGTGGGGGCGGGGGTGAGGCCTTGATCAGAAACAGGTAGTTTCAGGTCAGCAGAGAGATGAGTCACAGGCCTGGTCAGGAGTCAAGGCGAGTATTCTGCGTTAAAAGTGAGGTGACATCCCCGTACAGAACAGAAAAGGCCTCAGAGTCCGGCCCCACCCATGCCTTGTTGGTTCCTTGAGCAGTACTCAAAAGGTACCCTACAGAAGTAGCCTTTCCTGGAGCCAAGGTAGAATCTCCGTACTGAGGCTCCACACACCATCTCATCCTCTCTCTTCTAGGGTGACCTCTTCATCAACACAGCTGCCTGCCCTCCTGCCTACTCTCCTTGAAAAATCATGCCTCGAGGTCAGAAGAGTAAGCTCCGAGCCCGTGCGAAACGCCGCCAGGCCCGAAGTGAGACCAAAGGTCTAGGGGGTGCTCAGGCTACTGCAGTAGAGGAAGAAGACTCCCCCTCCTCTGCCTCTCCTCTTTTGGGAGATAGATCCCAGAATTTGCCTACTGCTGGGACACGAAGCACTCCCAAATCTCCTCAGAGAGCTGCAGGTGTTTCATGCGCAGATTCAAATGAAGGTGCCAACAGCCAAAATGAGGAAAGTTCAGATGAGAGCTATTGCGAAGATCCTTTAAACGAGAAGGTGGTATTGTTGGTGGAATTCTTACTGCGGAAGTATCAAGAAAAAGAGCCGATTACAAAGGCAGACATGCTGAAGTCTGTTATCAAAAACAAAAAATATCAGTTCCCTGAGATCCTCAAGAGAGCCTCTGAGCACATGGAGCTGGCCTTTGGTATTGATTTGAAGGAAGTGGATCCCATCAGGCACTGCTATACCTTTGTCAACAAATTGGATCTCACCGCGGATGACATGGTTATTGATGAAGAAAAAACACCCAAGACGGGCCTCCTGATGATTGTGCTGGCTGTGATCTTCATGAAGGGCAACTGCGCCACTGAGGAGGAGGTCTGGGAAGTGCTGAATCTGATGGGGGTATATGCTGGCAAGAAGCACTTCATCTATGGAGAGCCCAGGAAAGTCCTGACCCAAGAGTTGGTGCAGATGAAGTACCTGGAGTACCGGCAGGTGCCCAACAGTGATCCTCCATGCTATGAATTCCTGTGGGGTCCCAGAGCCCATGTGGAAACCAGCAAGATGAAAGTCCTGGAGTTTTTGGCCAAGGTCCATGATACTACGCCCAGTGCCTTCCCATCCTGGTATGAAGAGGCTATGAAAGATGAGGAAGAGAGAGCTCGAGCCAGAATTGAAGCCAGGGCTCGCAGTAGTTCCACGGCCAGTGCTCGGGCCAAGGCCAAGCCCAGCAGCTCCTCCTGCCCCAAGTGAAGTTTAAAGAAGATTCATCACTTTTTGGTTAAAAAGGGCTGTCAGTATTCTAATAGTGGAGGGCCAGGTTAGGGTTGGAGTGAATAAAATATACATCATCTTTGTGTTCCTATTCTGTTTGGGTAACTTGGAGTTTTACATTTTTTTCTTTTTTAAGGTTAATTTCAAATGTTGAAGTCTGAAGCAGATTCTTTTCTTTATGGATAAAAAGGGCAGTCAGTATTCTAAGTAGTAGAGGGCCAGTATGGGGCTGTAGGAAACACAGTGTATATCATCTTTGTGTTCCTGTTCTACTTAGGTAACTTCGAGTTCTTTCTCCCCATTCCCTCCCTCACTCCTTCCTTTCCTTCCTTCCTTCCTTTCATTATATTTCATATTGCATTCCTTTTAATAGAAGGTTTAAATAGCTTCATAATCTAGGCTTATGAATGATTTTAGTTACACATTTATTTCTATTTAATAGATATAAGAGTAAGAGTTTTGTTATTTTGTAAAACCAATTGGGAAGCTTTCCTTCATATTTAGTGATCCAGAAGAAGAAAACATGGCATTGGAGTAGGCGCTTCCTTAGAAATGTGAAAGGAATCAGCAGTAAAATAGTTGGGCTCAAGAAACAGAGAAAAAAAGGTAGAAGATGTTCAGCTATTGGTTTCCCATATCCATTCTAGTCTTGTTTGGTAAAAATAAAAGATACATACCTGAGTTTGCTTAACTTAAGAATGTAGGAGAAATAAAACTTTTATGAACTAGAACTCGTGCTCACTGGCTCATTAATTCCTCACATGTTAATTGATCATCTGCTTTTTGAAAGTCACTTTGTTAGAAATGGGGAAACTAGGATACAAAACACTCAGCCCCTGCCCTGAGAATTTTACAGTCTAGGAGTAGCAATCCTATAGGCAAAATGATGAAAGACCCTATAAGACTCAAGGACAAGTACAAAGAAGGTGTAAGAAGGTAAGGAGGCTGGTGGTGGAGAGTGAGAGGCAGGGGAAGGTGTCCAGTTGAAAGCAGGGGAGTGCAAGCGCCCTGGAGGCAAGGCAACGTGGGGCTTTGGGACACGGTAAGTCCTTCAGTGGACATACTTTTAAGTTAAACCGGGTGATGGGCTGGATGAACCTGTGGGAGTGGGTGAGACCCCCGATTGTTGTGTCTCAGAGAAACAAACCCCAGGAATAGAAAACTGCTCTTAAGATTTATTTTGTGGTCATCGATAAACCAGAGGAAAATCTCCACCTGGGGCAGAACTGGAAGGTGCCCTGTGCTCTTGTCCCTGTGTACTTGAACCCAGAGCACAAAGTAGTTTTATGCACATCGTTTCCAGGGAGTTTCTAAGAAATAAAGATGATACTCTCTTGGAGTGAGATGCCCAGAAGCTACTGGGCTGACACTCTTTTACACTGGCCTGGGAGAACTAGAGACCACTCCATTAAAAGGACATTTTAATTAGGTTATCTTGAATGTAATTTGGCAAACTCTAAGGGAGGGCTGGAAATCCTGGTGGGATAGTGGTTAAGAGCTACGGCCGCTAACCAAAAGATTGGCAGTTCGCATCCACCAGGCACTCCTTGGTAACCCTATGGGACAGTTCTACTCTGTCCTATTGGGTCACTGAGTTGGAATTGACTCGATGGCAATTGGTTTGGTTTTTTTTTTAAGGGAGGGCTAGATTTTTGGTGATTGTGAAATGAGTGAAATAGAGGTGATTTGAAAGGAAAAGCAGCTAGGAGGGAGAGAAGCTGATGGTCCTTGACATAAATTCTAGAAGCTTTGAGATGCATCAAATGGGAGAAGATTCCCCAACACTGAAATTAAATAACATCTGCTCTAATGGGGGAAATTTTAGTTTGTTTGACTTGCTAAGCAGCATTATTGGCTGACTTGGTGTTATTTTACCAGGAAAACTACATATCCTTGGAATTAAATAAAAGAAATCCACAGAGGAGAGAGGGTGGTATCATCTGGGTTAAAAATAATCATAGTATTAATAACCATTCATTTAGGACCTAATATTTGCCTGTAACATCTCTGGAATCTGACCAGCTCTTCACTGCCTCCTCCTCTAGATGTGCTCCTGTTCCCAGAGGAACAGACAGCCCAGAATAACCCACTCACCCCTGACTTAGAGCCTCCAATTCCCTGCAGAAGTCCCAAGTAGGTCCCACCCCTCTATCCCTGTCAGTGGAACCCCTGACAGTGAAGGTTAGACACGAGATTTTTGCCCCTCCCCCCACCAGACATCTCTACCACACTCCCAAAGTTAATTCCAAATGGGCTGGTGATTGGAGTCTGATTTATGATTTTACACAGAATATACTGGTCCTTGTGCTATAACATGGGGTCTCCATAAGTTGGAATCAACTCGATGGCAACTGGCTGTGCAACCTTCAGGCTTTTTCTTCCATTCAGCAGCAAACATGAAGGGCCCATATTGAGATGGTGCAACCACAAGATGGAAGCAGTCTTGATATCTGAGTTACCTGAGAGCAGAGAGCCCCTGCCAACCACAGCAGATTTTATGCGCATGAGAAAGTTTTGTTGTGTTAAGCTGTTCAGATTTCAAGTTTTCTCTGTTGCTAGCTAGGAGTTATTTGGTGGTGCAATCAATTAGGCATTCAACTACTAGCCTAAAGGTCAGTGGTATGAACCTCCCAAGAGAAACCTCAGAAGACAGGCCTGGTGATCTCCTTCTGAAAGGTCACAGCTTAGAAAACCGTATGGAACAGTTCTACTCTGCACACATGCGGTCACCATGAGTTGGTATAGACTCAAGGACAACTGTTTTTTTTTTTAATTGTTGTAGTTTAAATGAACTTTACATTTCGAGTTAGTCTCCTATACAAAACTTTATACATACATTGTTATGTGGCCCTAATTGTTCTCCCCATTCTGTGACAGCACACTCCTCCTTTCCACCCCTGATTCCCCATGTCCATTCAACCAGCTTCTAACACTCTCTGCCTTCCCATCTCACCTCTGGACAGGAGATGCCCATTTTAGTCTCACGTATCTACTAGGGCTAAGAAGCACACTCTTCATGAGTATCATTTTGTGTTCTATCATAGTCCAGTCTAATTTTTGTCTGAAGAGTTGGCCTCGGGAATTGTTTTACTTCTGGGTTGCCAGAGAGTCCAGAGGCCATGCTTTCTGGGGTTCCTCCAGTCTCAGTCAGACCATTAAATCTGGTCTTTTTACTAGAATTTGAGTTCTGCATCCCACCTTTCTCCTGCTCCATCAGGGACTCTCTGTTGTGGTCCCTGTCAGAGCGGTCATTGGTGGTAGCCGGGCACCATCTAGTTCTTCTGCTCCCAGGCTGATGAAGTCTCTGGTTTATGTGGCCCTTTCTGTCTCTTGGGCGAATACTTTCCTTGTGTCTTTGGTGTTCTTCATTCTCCTTTACTCCAGGTGGTTGGGACCAATTCATGCATCTTACCTGGCTGCTTGCAAGCTTTTAAGACCCCAGATGCCACTCACCAAAGTAGGATGCAGAACATTTTCTTAATAAGCTTGGTGATGCCAGTTGACCTAAATGTCCCCTGAAAGCATGGTCCACAGATCCCTACCACTGCTACTCTGTCCCTCAAAGTGTTTGATTGTATTCAAGAAAATTCTCAGCTTTGGTTTAGTCCAGTTGTGCTGACTTTCCCTGTTGTGTGTGCTGTCCTTCTCTTCACCTAAGATAATACTTGTCTACTATCTGCTTAGTGAATAACCCTCTCCCTCCCTCCCCACCCTCGTAACCATCAAGGAATGTTGTCTTCTGTGTTTAAACCTTTTCTTGAGTTCTTATAATAGTGGTCTTATACAATATTTGCCCTTCTGTGATGGACTAAATTCACTCAGCATAATGCCCATGAGATTCCTCCATGTTAAAAGATGTTTCATGGCTTCATCGTTGTTCTTTATCTTTGGGTAGTATTCCATTGTGTGGATATACCATAATTTGTTTATCCATTCGTCTGTTGATGGGCACCTAGGTTGTTTCCATTTCTTGCTATTGTGAACAGTGCTGCAATGAACATGGCTGTGCATATATCTATTTGTCTGGCAGCTCTTATTTCTCTCGGATATATTCCAAGGAGTGGAAAGAGCTGGATCGTATGGTACTTCTATTTATAGCTTTTTAAGGAAGTGCCAAATCGATTTCCAAAGTGGATGTACCATTTTACATTCCCAGCAACAGTGTATAAGTGTTCCAGTCTCTCCACAACCTCTCTAGCATTTATCACTTTGTGTTTTTTTGGACTAATGCTAGCCTTGTTCGGTTGAGATGATATCTCATTGTATTTTTGATCTGCATTTCTCTAATGGTTAATGATCGTGAGCACTTCTTCACGTGTCTGTTAGCTGCATGAAAATCTTCTTTGGAGAAGTGCTTGTTCATATCCTTTGCCAATTTTTTAATTGGGTTATTTGTCTTTTTGTTGTTGAGGTTTTGCAGTATCTTGTATATTTTAGAGATTGGACGCTGAACTGATTTGTCCTAGCCAAAATTTTTTTGCCAGTTTGTAGGCTGTCTTTTCACTCTTTTGGTGAAGTTTTTTGATGAGCATAAATGTTTGGTTTTTAGGAGCTCCCAGTTATCTAGTCTCTCTTCTGGTGCTTGTGCATTGTTACTTATAGTTAGTATTGTGTTTATAGCATGTATTAGGGCTCATAGCTTTGTCCCTATTTTTTCTTCCATGATCTTTATCATGTTCAATTGTGTATTTAAGTCTTTGATCCAGTCTGAGTTAGTTTTTGTACATGATGTGAGGTATGGGTCTTGTTTCAGTTTTTTGCAGATGGATATCCCGTTATGCCATACCATTTGTTAAAGAGACTGTCTTTTCCCCAATTAATGGACTTTGGGCCTTTGTCAAATATCAGCTGCTCATAGGTGGATGAATTTATGTCTGGATTGTC